CATTGATAAATACATTGAATAGTACTGGTCCTAAACCATAGAATCTCTCTTCTGTCCTTGGTGAAATACAGTATTTCAGTTTTTGATCTTCCCAGAAGATGATCTGAGCTAGTTCATGCATGTTTTCCCTAGTCTCATCTTCTGTGGAATAGTAACAAAGGAGGTAGCTATGAAATTACAGTGGTGCCTCGCAAATGTGTTTGAAGGAGTTGACAACTGTGTGAATGTGAGTGATCCTGCTGATCTTACTCGCGTTCAGTACTTACTCACTGTCCATTCATCTAATCCACACTTCCTAAGCTTACCTACGAGGATGTTGTGGGAGACAGTGTCAAAAGCCTTGCTGAAGTGGAGGTAGACAACATCTGCTGCTCTCCCCTCATCCACCCAGCCAGTCATGCCATCAGAGAAAGCTATCAGGTTGGTCAAGCATGATTCCCCCTTGGCGAATCTATCCTGACTACTCACTATTCCAGATGACCTTCTTTTCTTCCACGTGCTTAGAGATGACATCCAGAATGAGCTGCTCCATCACCTTTCCGGGATGGAGGTGAGGCTGAGTGGCCTTTAGTTTCCTGGGTTCTCCTTCTTGCTTTTTTTAAAGGTTGGAGTGACGTTGGCTTTCCTCCAGACCTCTGGCACCTCTCCTGTTTGCCATGACCATTCGAAGTTGATGGAGAGTGGCCCAGCAATAACATCTTCTGGCTCCCTTAGCACTCGGTGCATCCCATTGGGGCCCATGGATTTGAGGCTGTCCAGTTTGCCTAAAAATCTCTAACCCAATCCTTCTCAACCAAGGGAAACTCTTCCTCTTTTACCTCCAGGGTCTGGGATTCCTGAGGACCAACCAGCCTTAGCAGTAAAGACTGGTAAAGAAGAGTAGCTTTATTCTAGTTTGGATTCCATTTCCTTCAGACTACTAAACGTTCTATGGAATAAGTAGGAAAAGCTAATTTTTTCCGATGGGGATATGAAATGGCAAGTATTTTGACTGCAGAACCAGTCAACAGCAAATGGAGGAGTGAAACGTGTCGCTATATCCTACTCCTGACAGATTGAACTACGTAATATTAGTCTCTAAGAAGCAGCCAAACTCAGCTTCAGATCCATAGCCTGAGTCCTCCTTTTTATTTCAGTGTGGCTAATAGGTGGGGGAAATGGAGGTGGTGTTGGAATAGTCTCTTTACAACTACTGTGCCTGTCTATCCAGTAGTTCAGTGACTAAAGCACTTGTGAAGGAAGAGGGAGATCTGGATTTCCTCCTGGAAGGAAGGAAGGAATCAGCTGCTTAACGAGCTAATGATTGTTCTTTCCTGAGACCAAGAAGAAGCCTGGCTTGACATTTTGATAAGGATGATAATTTGGGAAAGGCAGACTTAAATTTTGAGGGTTTTTTTAAAAGCAGTCATTGGATAAAGTAGGTGGGGGGTTTTTTCCAAGGATTGTTACCTAGTCTAATTAACAGGGCTAGGGGGAGAAGGTTTTCCATATCTGGTTTAAAATTTTTTGTTGTTTGGGTTCTGTTTGGAATGTGGGTTTTCTGTGGTTTTCCTCTAGGTATAAAGGAGACACAGAAATTCATGGAGTTTGATCTTCTTCATTTGGAATAAAAATAATCTTGAAAAAATGTTGTCTTTCATTCTACAGATTTTATGATTAGTGTTCTTTCTGAAGATGACAATATTATTAAAAATATAAATCCGGCACGGATTTCTATGAAAATGTGGGAAGCACAGAGCAGCGGAACTAGGATACCAGCTGATGTAAGTCATCAAAATGAGTTTTCAAAATAGTGTCAGAATGCCAGCATAGGACAAACATATTTGTGGTAGAAACTTTCCTTCGTTTAACTTAAATCAGTATTGTGTTCTAGATTTTAAATAACAAATATTAGATATCAGTCATATTTGTTTATCAGTATCTGTCCTGTTACAAGTTGTCAGACTGTTCAAATGTCAAGACTGTAGTAAGGACAAAAATGCTGCTCCTCTGCAGAAGCTAACTAATAGCAGGGAGACTGTTAAAAGCTGCCATGCTGAATTTTGCAAAGAAAAAAGACTCTGAGAATTAAGAATGTACAACTAGCGCCTAAATTATAGATGACCTCATTGAATTACTGTGTGCTGTCAGTACTGCAAATCATTAAGATTTATAGCATATTAAAAGTAAGGTACTTTAACTTTCCATATATTGGATTAAATTTTTTGCATCTTTCTTTCCAGGTTACAACATTTAGCTGTAGTAAAGTGAAGGATGACAAGGAAGGTGGTTTCTTCTACTTCAGGTATAGCAGCGTTTATTTTACAATTACTGGTGCAACTTACTGTACAAAATACATAGTTTGAAACAGAAATAAATTTTGATTTGATAATAACAATGTGGTTTAGAACTCGTGTGATAGCGCTATGAAATGGTAAAAGATATTAGCAAGATGCAATGAACACGAGGACTGAATTCTTCCCTAGACACATTTGACATTTGTTTAATCTGAGAGTAGGGAGGAGTCTTTAAGATAATATGTTGGAATACGTGATGAGAAATGCTAGCAACGAAGGGACTACATCACCTGCTTGTCACTTGTCTGGTAACATTCCTTAGTTCTTTTCAATGTTACGTTCAACTGCCGTAGAGTTGCGGGCTGGACAAAGTGGATTTAACTCTGCTTTAATACCTTCTGTAGCTGTGTGTTAGTCCTGAACCATGACCTCGGCCCTGTTGGTCCAGTGGTCTGTCCTTGGGTTACTTGTTCAGAGACTGTGTCCTAGATGGCAGGCAGCAGGACTGGAGCTCATCATAAGCTGATGCCCTGTTCTTTCAGCGAGTTCCTGGCGGGCATACGATGGGATCGGTTAAACAGTTGTGGTACTGGCTGTTGATTCAAGCTCTTGCCTCCTGGGAACAGACTTCCCTCCTGCTTTTAGGAAGCAGACTTTAGGATCTCTTTGATGCAGCAGCTACCGCTGTTGCACAGCTGATCCTGGTTGCTGCATCAGAGGAACAGAGGCTGCTGCAGCTCAGCTGTGTCAAAGATTCCAGGAGCATCGGAGTGGCAGCACTTCAAGAGGTGATAAGTTTCCTAACTCGCCTTGCGGCTGTGGCTCGCCTCCCTTTCAAGGCACATAACAGAGTTCAGGAAGCCAGGGATCCAATTTGTAATCCTTGGGAACCTCTGTGCTTTCAGGACCTCGAGGCAGCATTAAGTCTTCAACACTTTTTTTCCCCCCTGGGGAGCTGAGGCACGTATCCAGGGTTCTGACCCAGCTTGATATGCAATGCAAATGTACCTCCATCTGTAATTCCCTTTGTCGTACCCAGCCCAGATACTATCCCATCTGGGATGGCAGTTGGTATGACCTTTGATTATTCAGCCTTTTTAGTTTCTCAGGTGGTGTACAACAACGCCATGTATTTATGTATGAAGCCTTTTCAGTTTTAAGAGGTTACAACTAATTCAGAAAGTTATTTAAGCGTGGCTTTTTGTATCATTACCAAGATCTGTCTTTACCTTGAAGGCAACTGAGGTTCCAAAGTCTTCTAAAGGCTGTTTGGCAGCTATAGCAAAAGAAAGCTCCCAAATAAGGGTGCAGTTTTGCTTTTAATAGAGCAAAGCTTTCTGTGTGACTAGTCCAAAGTTATGGAATGATCTTCTCCAGAAACGAAGGATCACTGCAGACTTGCACTGAGGTACATTTCTTGTGGCCTTGGTCATTCTGAGAAATTCTTAGTTATAGGTGTAGTTAAAACGTACGAATGCCCTAAAACGTTACCAAAACAAGGCACTCTGCGTCATGTATTTGTACCTCCAGAAAACGAAAACTAGAATGAATGTGCCAATGTGTAATCTTGCTAATAAATGTTCTCCTGTGAAAAGCACTGTGGTGGTCCGTGTGAGATAAACTAAACTATAAAGAGTTGAATATGGAATTATTAAAATCTTGACAAAAGTACCTGTAATTTACTAGTTGTCCACAAATGTCCAGAATTAAAACTCCCAACCTCTATGTGGCATCGCTGTCTACCGCCTGGTTTCTCTCAAGTTTTCCTGTCCTTGGCACAGTTACAGATGGTTTTCATCTATTTCACGCCAATCAGTAACACCCGTGCTATGATGCAGTCACATAACTCTCATAACAATTGTGCAATTTCTTCTTTTTCTAAAGCGTATGTCTGCTTAGATGGTGTTCAGCCACAAGATCCTTAGCAGAGAATTTAGAGCTCAGGGTTTTTAATGCATCCTGACAAGGCAAATGTACTTTTAATCTTAAACTAGATAAAATGCAGAAAAGAAGGTAGAATTGTTCCTTCTCTGTATGAAATGCAAAAAGGAAGTGTTATGGCCCATTTTAGAAAAAAGTAAAGCTTTGGGATTTTGTTTTTTACGAGTTAAGTATTCCAGGGAATCTTGCATCTTCCAGGGAATCTTGCATCTTATCCTTCCCAAACAAAATAAGAGGAAACAAGTTGCTTAATGTTGCAGACAAAACAGATAAAATGCTGTATGTTGAAAACAAAAATCTCGTTAACCAATTCAAGAGTGCCACATTTCATCCTCTCGGAGAAATGTCAGAATCTTGGTTAGAGACTGTTTGCGTCTCCTCAGAAGTTTCGAAGCGTTCGTAAGTTGCTGCTATCCCTTATTAAACACCTGAGTGGTCTTCTGGGTGCTGTGTGGCCTTCCTTGCTAGTGAAGTTCTGTTTATCGCAGCAGAAGTGCAGGTGTCTGTCTTCCCTTCGTGTTTTGATGAGAGGGCTCCTTTGCCTAGTCTGCACTGTGGAACGCTGTAAGGTAGAATGGAAACTCTTTTCTGTCTCACCATACTCAGCCTTGGCCACTGGCCCAAGTTACCCGACTTTGTACACCTGCTGAGTAAGAGAAGGAATTAGCTACTCAGGCGTTACGTAAATTCAAGCCAAATAATTAAATTTGGAGATAATTTGTTGCTGTTGCAGATCTAAAAATTTCTATGTTCTGTTTCAGTAGCTTTATGAAAATTCATTGAATAGGAAGTGAAATGAGGTAGACTTGCAGATTTCTGAATAAAAGGGCAACGACAAACTTCCTGTCAGTTAGTAGTGACAAACTCCTGGAGGAGACTTCCCTCCTCCAAGCTTCTAAAAACCATATTCACGTTCTTCAGAAACTTCATGGCGTTCTTGCTGAAGGAGTTGTCTTATGGAGGACTACCAAAATACATCATGCCTTAACAGGATTTTCTAACTAGTTTGGAGGACTACTCAGAGTTTTGATTTCTTGCATACTTGTCACTTCAGTATTGACTCATTTTGCTTGGTTTTTGTTTTTGATTTATTTAGGGATAAAGTGGTTCCAGAGAGAGTGGGCACTTACAGTATCCAGTTTACCTTTGCAATGGATAAGACAAATATGCTCAGCAGTGACCAGGTCTGGATCCATAATTAACTACATGTAGCCAAGAACGTGTAATACAGAATCATCCGGGAGAAATACTGTGATACTTTGTAGATTCAGAATGCAAATACTGTCACTTGCAAACTTTGCAAATATTTTATTATTATTTTTGATAGTTACAGATTTCAAACTGATTATCAAACATTAGCTTTCATAACTAAGCAGAAATTTTGTGGAATAACAGGGCTGCATAATTTGCAACCTAGTAGAACTGTTTTATGGTCATGTTAATTTATTTCGAGATTATTGGTAAATTTCACATGCATTTTTTCAGTTTTTTTTGAGCAACCCATGTAGGCAGGTGAATTGCAGTGAATTATATCAGTCTTTATTTTATTTTGTTTTATTTTATTCTTCCTCCTTTTTCTGCTAGATTATAGTTGAAGTTGTACCTAATGACCCTGTACGCTTGTTACCTGATTCTTTACCAGCTACTCCAGCAGTTTCCAATGTTCGAACTCTTACTAGCCGTACACTGGTCAAGGATTTACACCTCCATGTAATGGTAACTATACTTTAATACAAAATCATAATGAGGGAAATATATGAGACTGCTAAAAATATGTTTAATTTTGCTGTAAGGCATTGCTGCTATCTCTTTGCAGATTAACTTCACTAAAAAGATGTAAATCAGTGATTTCCAGTATATGACAGGTGCAGCTTATTTTCTTTACATGCAGATTACAGAAGCTAAAACGTTCAATGTTTGCTGAGGGGCATCTCCATCAAAACCCATTTGTTGCCCCAAGAAAAAAACGTTTCAAGAATAGATTCTAGTGGGAAAACACTTACCTATACAGCAGCTGTTTCTCTCCGTGATTTTTCTTCCAGGAAACAGTTTCTCTTTAGAAAACTTGTGTTACAAAAAATAAGGTTTTGTGAACTTTGAATGTTCACAGGGATACAGGGAGATCTCCTTATCACTTGCCACAGGCAAAGGAGACTCAGCTTGTGGAAAATTAATTTAATTTATTACCAATTAAAATAGTGAGAAACAATTTGAGTAGTGAGAAACAAATTCCAAAAAAAGTAAAGCAACACCTTTCGCCCCAGCCTTTCCCAGGCTCAGCTTTGCTCCAGCCTCCTCTACCCTCCCCGGAGCGGTGCAGGGGGATGGCAATGGGGGTCACGGTCAGTTGGTAACAGCTCCTCAGTTTCCCTGCTCTAGCGTGGGTCCCTCCATGGGCCGCAGTCCTTCCCGACGGCTCCAGCATGAACCCTCTCCATAGGCTGCAGTCCTTCAGGAGATACCCACCTGCTCGAGCGTGGGGTCCTCTGCGGGCTGCCGTGTGGGTGTCTGCTCCGCCGTGGTCCTTCACGGGCTGCGGGGAAATACCTGCCCCACCGGGGTGTCCCCACGGGCCGCAGGGGAATCTCTGCTGTTCCCTATGCTGTTTATCTCCCCCCCTCCTCTCCTCTGCCTGCATTTTTGCCATTTCTTAAGTATATTTACCTAGAGGAACCACCATTTTGGCCAAGGGCTCAGTGGTGCACTGCGGTGTGTCGGCGGGAACTGGCTGTGTCCAGCTCAGGGCAGCCCCGGCCTCCCCTCACAGAGGCCGCCCTGCAGCCCCGCTGCCAGCACCTTGCCACGTAAAGCCGGCGCAGTCTATGTGTGGATCACTTAGGTCACGTTCTGAACTGACGTTTTTGTCTTTTTTTTACAGGATGCATACAACAATCACACTGGGATTGATCTAGTTGGCAGAATAAGAGCAAGAATTACGAGCCCCAATGAAGATGATACAGAGATCCCGCAGTTTCAAGGGAAAGTCAGTACAATTGAGTTTCCATTTGACAGAGGATCAGCTGAAATTGTAAGTGTGACTGAAATACAGTTGGCTCCGTGAGCAATGGGTCTAATGAGGCCTGTTTTCCTACACTTTCAGGGTTGATCTTGCACCTTGATGTGGGTTTTTTTTGTGGAGGGTTAGCATATATTGTAGCCTTCCCTTACAGAGAAGCAGATAAATTGTTTCTTCTCTGGGTGATTGCTCATTTTCAGAAAACCTGAAGGAAGGACTTTCTTTAAAATATTTATCCTTGCCAAGTGAGGGAAATTCACAAATACATTCAGTTAGGGACTGGGACATACAGAAGGATCCAGGATAAATCTTTTCCTCATTTGAATTTCACATTTATAGTTAAACCATTAATATTAGTGGTATTTTATATTTTTATTTATAATACTACCTGGCTGTAATATCTTAAGATCATTTAGTCTGACCTCTTCATATATACGTAATTAAATTTTACCAGGTTCTGTTTACATTTTTGTCAAGCTAACTGGGCTTATATATACTTTGCAGAAAGGCATCCTATCCTCATTTGAAGAAGTGAAGATAAAACTAGCACTTCTCTTTACGCTTTATTTTAGTCATTAGTCCCCTTGACTGTTAAAAATGCTTGCCTTATCTCAGTTTGAATCTCTGGCTGTAGCATCATGCATACCTCTGAAACACTGCATATTGTAGTCCTGTCATCGCAGTCACCTTTTCTTCAACAAACACAGATTGAATTTTAAAAGCTACAAGTTCCATTTGTAACAGTTGTTACAAAGTATAATATTAAAGACACAAGTTAAAACGTGCACAGGCACAAATCCAGAAACTGTTCAAAACACACAAAAAAAACCTCCAGGTGAGTAGGCTCTGAGTGGAATGGTCACAATATCTCCCTTAAAAGCCTACAGAGAACTTTAGTCAATAGGACTATTCACGTGGTGAAATAGCTATATATAGATTTTTAATTTTTTTAGGTTGCTAAAATATCATATAAGAATTGCAAAGCAAAAGTATACCCCAACTTCATTTGCTTCCTCTGATTGTCATGTGTTTTACTAGCCTGAAGTCTATGGAAACCTTCAAACAGTTAGCAGGTGTACTGAAGGAGGATCCAACTTTTTAAAGGCATTTTCCCAGCCACCTTTTCTAAGGTGTTCATTGGAAACAGCTTCCCAGCAGACCAGCATCAGTGTGTGCCAGGCGGAGGCAGACTCTGCCTTAGCGACAAATACAAAATCTCCCAATACATCTCAGAAATCACCACAATAAAACCCCAGTAGAATCACTAAAATCTACAGATGCTCCATACAAACTTCTCCATAATATTTTTTTATTCAATACATCAGCTGGTTTTATGGAACTACATAGATGAAATTAATGACACAGCCTAAATAATTCTGTCAATAACAGTCAAGGACAGAAACATCCAGTTAACATGGGCAAACATTTTTCACTGAACAATCTGTCAAACTCTGCTCTACACTGATCTGTAAGGAAAAGTGACAGAATATGTGTGAAAAACAAGCAAGAAAAATAAAACGCATGTCCTGAATAGAGGTATCAGATAAAATTAATATACTAAAAAATAGATTTATGGTGCACTCTGAGTTCCTCTTGTTCCCCAGCCATGTTTCAGGAATAAATTGGTTTGTGAACACATTTGTCTCGGGCAGGTGGGGTGGGAAACAGTGCAAAAGTACAGATAAAGAGTCAGCTGTAACCACCGGTCTGATAAAATAGCACTTTTCTCCACAACCCTTGCATTTACACCTGTGGTAGAAATTTGAAAATCTGTTTAAAACTTCATACATTTGAGGGGAATAATAACCCCACAGAGTGGACTCTGACAGTTCAGATAAAATTACTGGATAATTTCTCAGACACCTCAGCGATGCAGAAATAACAGGTTTTTTCTCTCCATTTACTAGTAACCTGCTGTTGAGCCATTTTGCCCAAAATACTCCAGTCTTGCTTCAATGACTAAGCTAGCAACCTATGTAATGGCGGGGGGGGGGTGTTTTGTTTGGCTTCTTTGGGATTTTTTTTTTGTAAGAAGATCCTTTTTCTTTCTACTTATATATTCCTAGTTTGTTGCGGGGCAGGAGGCTGTGGTGTTCTGCTTTCTCATGACTATGATCTGATGAGATCCTACTGCTGTGACAGTAACTTGTGTTGCCTAGTCTTCCGTCAGGAGTAATTCCATTTCGGTGAATCCCATATCTCTTCCCCTTTTCAGGCATTTTTGAGTTGGCTAGGCTATGCTGGGTTCTCTGACTTTCGACAGTTCACAAAACCCTTGGAAAAGATTTGTGGGCTGTGATGCAATATATTTATCATGTGACTAATAATGGGGAGGGGACACACTAGTGTTTTTTCAAGTATCTTGACATTGTACTGTCTTGTTTATAAATATAATTATGTGTAATTAACACCAATGTAATGAAGCTGATAATCTGACATGTTTACCCTTACACTGAGGTTCAGGAATACTAAACTTGTTTAATGAAGGAAAATGTTTAGATTTTTATTACTGTAAATTTTCTAAGGAAAAGATATTTCCACTACAGACTTCTCCTGATTTAAGTATGTAGCTGCAATATTTTTGAAAGCCATGAAGACCATCTTTGAAGGTTATATATCTATCTCTTCTTTTAGGCTGCAACTACCTCTCTCTTGATTTGTCCAGTTGGGTAGCAATTTCTACATGTTAAAAGGTGGAAACAGTATGAGTTTTATTATAAGCATTATTCATTTTATGCATGATACCTTTCCCAAAGTAACAGCACATTTAGATATTACGTATACTAATTTTATTTCTGTTTACCATTCTTTATGGTTTTATAATATTTCCTGTGTTTGTAAAGAAAGGCGAAGGATTTAGTTTGTCTTTTCAATACAAAATTGATAAGAAAGAGAATGTGTTAGTGTTTCGATATATATTGTTCACTCATTTGGGACCTGCTGTCTACTGCCATGGTAACAGCAGTAGCTTTAACTCAGCACTGGGAATAGTTGGGTTTTCTCCTTCTCTGTGTTTGTGCATTGGGTCTTTCTTTTTAGTGTTCCCTTTGCATTTGTTCACATGCCGAATGAAGTACACCCAAGGAAATCTTGCTTCTGGGACAGTGCAAAGTATTTTTTCTGAGCATATGTCTCTTAAATAAAATATATAGCCAAAAATAATAGGACTCTTTAAACAGGTAAAATGACACTCTTAATTCTTAAATAATAAAATAGTTACTGCTGAATCTTCATATTTTACTTTTCTTTATTAGGCATTTCCAAGCCGATACTTAAAACTGTAGTAATGTTGTATAGACATTATGTGTTGGGTAACTTAGAAGATTTAGTATTTGAAGAGTGTTTATTTTATTTTGTCTGTTACCTCAAGCGTGAACATAAACTTATATATGTTTGTTTGTTTGCTTTTATTAGAATCTAGTGCTTGCTGAAAACAGTCCTGGAAGAGATAGCACTGAATATATTCTTGTGTTTGAGCCAGATCTGCCAGCTTTGAAAAAACCTTTGGAGCCATACCGTCTGTCATTTATGTTTTACAATGGTATGTTTCAATTACTCTAAAATGCTTGCTTTTCTTTAGAACCAACTATTTTTAGGTCCATAATACTTCTTCAGAACTATGTAATAGCTTAATACATTTTTGCTGATATTTAAACCAACTATGTTACTGTATTTTCTTCTAAAATATATGTATATTTATTTCTGTAGATTTCAAGAAGCAGCAACAGATGGCAACACTTACAAGGGAGAGAGACCAATTATCGCAGTCCATAGGTGTTTACAGAAGTTGGTTTGATACTACTAATCAGCTTGTAAATGAAATGAAATGTAAGTTCAATAAATATATACATGAAATTTCCTGGGAATTAAACTTTTTTTCCTTTAATAATTTTGAGAATATGGAGAGAGGGAGAAAAATCGATATTGAAATGATGAGGTACAGTAATTAGAGGGGAGCAGAAGAGAGTATCTCCTTGCATTAGCAGGGCAGCATCTAGTTACTTGCAGGGACCTACCTGTAAAGGGTATTGATTTGAGGTAGAACATCTTGCATCAGAACTGCCAGAAAGAGGAATGAAACATTGAAGTTGGTGCTCTGATTCTTTTTTCCATGACTGCCTCGCACTCCCATCTTTGCAGTGGATGTGGAATGCTCATCCATCTGGAAACGCAACAGTTGCCTAATTAGAGGATGAACTATAGATAATCCGCTTTCAAAAAGTTAGTCTTCCGTTTTCAAAATGTTACTTTTTCCCTGCACGTTTGACCCTATGTACATTATTCAAAACTACTGTCTAGCTATTCATTGTTTATCTCTTTGTCCTTCAGCAACTCTAATCCTTTATAAAGTCTGTTAAACAGCGGAGCAGTATGAGGGCAGCGGTTTATGGGAAAGGGAGGGATGAAGGAAATGTTTTCTTTGCATTATTTTTTGTTTGAATCATTCTGTCTGTTGGTCAGAAGGCTTGTTTTAATAGATGCATTTTGAATTCTTATTTTAAATAACCACTAAATGTAAATAAAGCATGCTGGAATTAGAAGATGCTGCTGTTTCTTGTGCTTTTGGTACAGGGCTATGTTCCTGTTACTTGCTTACTGCATGTTTCCATTATGGATGCAAATTCCTAAATTCCAGTGTGAAAGGCAAGAAGTTTTGTTTCATATTTGCAGATTTTTGCACATCTCTAGAGAGTAAGTTAGAGAACAACATTATACTTCAGGCATAAATAACATTTCTGAATATAAACCTTTTGAATAGAGAGTGGAAAGCAACTCACCCGTTTACTCATTTATTTTCAAAATTGCTTCAGTTCAGATAAGAGAGTTGAGGAAATAGTGTCCAGAAAGTGGTGTCCCATATAACAGACAAAGGAGGGTAGTGCCAGCTACCACTCTTCCCTTCCCTCTTGCCATTTTGCCTGTTGGAGAGCCATTTGGAAAGATAATTGAGGATGGAAAGAAAAAAGAGCTCACGTTCTCAGACTGATCTAAGGACTGGGCAATCTTCCTGAAGCTGAAGGAGATGGCAGCTGGTGAAGTTGCCTAGAAGCTGGACAAATCACAAGATCTTTGTGGACAAATCCTAATATATTCTGTGCTGAAATTAAGAAGTAGATCGGATGAGCTATCTAGCTGTGGGTGGCATAACCCTGAAGAGCTGCAAGAAATTCTGTAAGAAGTGTTCCATTGCTTTCTAATATTTCCTTGCTCTCTATTGATTTTATTGGTTTCAGGTCAGGTTAAAGAAGCTGAAACACGAGAAACTCACCTGAAGAACGAACTGAAAAAACACCAAATTGAATTACCACAGACAAACACAGTATGGCTTGTTTCTTACTAAATTCCATAATATCTTAAAACTAAATCTAATCTTAATATGAAATTGGTATCGTTATGTTTCAGTGTTGTTGAATCACACTGGAATATACACAAGCAGCTGTAACCAAAACCCTGAAAATTTAAACCATGAGGAAAATCTGTGGATCAATGCCGAATTTAAAATTTTTATTACCCTTCTGCTAATGTGACTATCTCTTAAAGAAACTGCTAGAGAAATAAGAAAAACTTCTCTTTTATATCCTGATCTTGTTTTTTACCTTTTTGCCAAAGTTACCAGTTGTGTTACTGGTACCACTAGTTTTCATAATGGATTTTTGTGGGCTGATTAAAGTACACTGTATAATGTATTCTGGTATAAGGAGACCAAAGGGAAACAGTTCTTTTCAGGCAATTCGAGAATTTCATATGTTACTACTAAAGTTAGTGTAAAACTAAGTTTGAAAGATTCAGAGTAGTGTACCCCATTGCTAATTTCCCATAAAGATCCAATTATATTTTAAAGAAAGTTCTCAAACTACGAATGTTTTGAAGGAAAATATGAAATCAGTTATCTTTAGATCAAATAAAAACAAGCGTTACAGTCATTAATCACTAATCAGCAGAATTAAATTAAACACACTCTGTAATCATGATACTCAAGTTCCCTCTGATGGCTGTTTTTCAGGCCTGGTCATATTGCCCTTGTGAAAAGATTTATTTTTGTACATTTGTGGTTGTCTCTTCCTGCT